TTGGGACAAAGATTGTTTACCAACTTGTAACCGCCATTTTTCGTTGCGCATCGCTAGCACGATGTATTTCCAAGTGGAGGGGTGGGCAAGTTGCTCGCGGTTTGGAACCGCGCTAGCGCTGCGCAACAAAAAATGGCGGTTAAATCCGCGTGCAACCTGCCCACCCCTCCACTTGGAAATATATTGTTCCCGCTCACTAGCGCCGGAACCGTGCCAGCGATGCGCAACGAAAAATGGCGGTTAGAAGTTGGTAAACAATCTTCGTCGACAAGTAATATAGCAAGTATAACATTTAAGTGTTAGTTTGCAGTTTAATTTTAGTGTTTGTAGTAACTTAAGACATTTGTGCGGCAGAGAATGTGCGTTATTTGGCATACCGAAGAAGTTATTAACTGCAAAAAAGTTGTCTTTGCTTACTCCCTGGAAATTGCCATGTAGTATGTTCTATAGCCCTGCGGCGGAGCGGAGGGCTATAGTTCCTGAGCTAACCCTAACCCTAACCAGCGTGAGAAACTAGCGGTCGCCCAGTCGCCAGTGGCGATTAGAAAATCGACCGGGCGACTGCTTGCTCGTGTCAGCTGGTCCGGCGGGGCGACTACATAATCGCCGCACAGGAAATAAAAAATTTACCAAACTGAGGCCATAATAAAAATGTTGTTTGTTTGCCCTCACCCGACCGACCCGCCAAAAAGGGGCCGACACAAACATTTGTATTGACCTTTCCGATTTTTTTTCTTCAAGTTTCTGTATGTGGCAGGCCTGCGGCAACTGTACGCGGGCTATAGTACCTACTAGAGCTATGCACAGCCTGCGTACGTGCCTGTTGGCTGGGCGGCACTGATTGAAGTAGGGGGGAGGGGCGAACGTGCAATTACTTGATTGTTTCACTTCGAGCCTGCGTTGCCAGGGTGCAATCGTTTCAATTATTACATTATGTAGGGGGTGGCCGGCGCACTGTGTATTAAACCTGGTATAATACCAGTCGTCATGGTTACGCTTGACTGGCGTTCGCTACAAACTGACGCCCTGTAAGCGAGGCAAGCCTAAAACAGTTCGGCACCTCCTGAACTCGATCATCAATTAACGCAGAACGAGGCTAAGCAGGCCTAGACCTGGTACCCGTCGCCGACGTATCACACTAAGGCCTTAATGTTTAGCGTGGTGTGAAACTGTCGGAGCCGCGTACTGAGTCTAAAGCAGGCCGCAAATGCCCGCAGGCACAGTATTTATTTGGTGGTAATCTAGAGTTAAATGTGTGCTTTATCAGAAGCATGCATTTTGTTACAGTCTATAAATTATGATTATTATATATGATTATTAAAACTAATATAAACTATTATAAACTATTTATAAATATAACGTTATTGCTGCAGTGAAATCGTTGACCGGGAAATGACGTCAAGCAAAGGAGCTGCTGCGCTGGCATTGGGCCGTATCTGGCTCAGTCAGCAGCCACCCCCATTTCTACTAGTAAGGAGGTTAAGCGCTCTGAATCCGAGTAGGCTCCCTAGCGGCCGTTACGAGCATGGAGCGGTAATAGTAAGCGTTACGCTTGTATGAGAGGACGCGCGGACAGCAAAACTTTCCTGGAAATCGCTGATTCGCAAAACGTTGCGCAGGCAAAAACTTTGCTGAATCCTGGAAAATCGCTATATTATAATTAGATATTAAACTAAACTTAATTTATGTGATCTAAACTCTGACAGATTAACGTTATTTCTTTCGCAAAGACTAATATGTGTAAGAAGATATTTATTATTTCTATTAGATTCCTTTTATTTGTAATTGCTTTTATTTCCACATTACGTGTATGGCTGCTGCGTGACCGTGGCAGTGCGTGTGATGATCTGAAATAAAATCATTGCAAAATTTAGTCTGATAAACACAAGCTTGTTTAAAGAAGTTTATAATATGTATATTGTATCACTGTACAATGGTACATTATATACAATGTTGTAGCAAACATAAAAGGTATGCTCCACACAAACAACGCGCTGAGCACGTAGAGCATCCAGTTGCTAGAATTGTAAAAAGACCCTCTAAAAAAAAGCAAACCACACTTATCAGCGCTGGTCGGGTCGAGGGAAACAAAAAATTGTTTAATTTGTGGCCTGAATTTATTTTGTTATTACTCATCTAACCTTCTACACTTATTCTAATGGAAATCAATGGTAAAATTGTAATCAAATATGACTAAAAATAGTCAGATTCCGAAGCGTAAAGTCCATGCGAAGTACACAAACTCTCCCATGTTTGTTTGTGTTTGATTTTCTAAGTCATGCCTGTTAAAACCTGCTATCTCGATAATACTGGGCATCCGAACCTAATGCAGCGATCGCGTGTAAGTAATAATATGATAATCTTATAGCGAATAATGGGCGTCTTCAGAGACGCCGTGATACTTGATGCTGTTGAATCGTTGACATTTTTGATCATTGATTTTTTGATCTTTTTGATTGACTTGATTGATTTTTTGAGATTGATTCTTTGGACTTGGTTCCGCATTTGTTACCTAAGCACTCAGGTATCGAAACGGATGTAAAGATATATAATTTTTAAGCAATACCGTTAGAATGCACATCACCAAAATTGACCACCATCCTCCCCTCCCTATAAAAACGTCCCACATCCGCAGTCATTGCCGTGTGCTATGACAGAAATCCTGGACGCAGTGCCTACTGATCAGACCAGTGCCTTCCTCCGTAGGTACTGGTCCTGCTGACCAGTGGCTCCAATATAATCAGTTTTGAATGCAGGTACTGAAGAAGCGCCGCTAACCATATCAGATAGTTACCAGGGTACGTTTGTATGACGACGTGACCCAGGAGTACTTCCGCGTAGTCTACTCTGGACATAGATCCCTATGACAGGAATTAACCAGTTATATGGCGAACACTAAGCTGTTACGATAGACAACTATTAGAGACACTATATAGTTATTATTTCTAATTGACTGTTACAGCTCGCGCGGCATAGGAACGGAAGTATCTATTTGAGGGCCAGTAAAAGGCATCATGCGCTGGTTTCTTAAATTTTGTTTTTATATAATTAAGAGAGAGCCGAGAGAAGTCTAAGGATAAAGAGAGAGAGAGGGAGTAGTAAATTGAGGACGGGGACAGGAAAACGGTGACTACAGCTGTGTATGCGACGCGGAAAGGGGTAAATTAGGTGCGGCAAGATGGTGCGAAGGGGATGGGAGGTGGAGCAGGGGAGGAGATAGGAGGTAAGGGGTGGAAGTGAGAGGCAAGAGGGCAGTGAAGTGGGGCAGGGAGGAGGGAGTGGACGCAGTGGGCGAGGGAGTGGGAGAAAATGGACCCTCCGCCCCCCTTCTAATATGAACTGTGAGATCGCATGCTCATATGTTGAAATCTTTTATATCAACGTCTCAATGTCATCCATTAAAGGCATAATTCGACCATGTCGTTATTAGCAAGTTCGACGAATGCTACAGTTAACTGGCACCTTTGGTAGTTAATAGAGTACATTACTTATAGCAAACGCGTTATTAGTTGTCCAAATATCCTGCTAATTATCGTAAGAATGTGCTAATGAGAATCCGATAAATTTGCTAATCTGAGCGACAACCGCGAAATTTATGGCCAACAAATAACAATCGAAGGTTCGGAGTTCCGTGACGTCACTTGTGTTGCTTACAAGATGTTGAGCATGAATTTGTTTGTCCGCGGTAAATTGTTGTCCTAGGTGTTATTATTTTGCTAGTGACCACATTTATTATGCTGTGCTTGTAATCTCGTAAGAACGTATATTCATTTATTCCGCGAATCCCAAGAGTAAAGCCATAACGTACGGAATGCCAGCTCAGACTACAAAAAGGATCGAATCACCTGACGGCCGAGCATACGGTGCGAGAAATATGTCCGTGCACTATAGATCTTGTATTGACAACGCCTCGCAGTTACGACCGGTTACGGGCGACATGACGGTTTGTAACTGTCAACAACGCGATTTCTTGACTGCGGAATTTCAATTTAGACATTTCTTAGTAAACAGCAGTGCATATTGGACAATACTAATATCGGCGTTTGGCTATGAAGGTTCAATGTACTTATTAACTACACCAAGTGCCAGTTACTGTAGCATTCGTTAAAATTGCATAATCGATGGTCGAATTATGCCTTTAACTTGTATTTGAATTGTTATTATTGTTCTTGTTATTAGAATTAGCCCATAAAGATTAGGTGGGTGCGAAAGTGTAGCTGATATATTTGTTCGAATTGGCTACGAAAGCCAAACAAGAATAAAGAAGACTTATACATGTATAAGACGTCTTGCTATGCACAAATTAATTTATCAGCAGAACACCAGACACCAGATGAGCCCTGTCGCACTGCGGCACTTTTTATTTTGTAAACATATGACACCAAGTGTTCAAAACTTCGTCAGAACAGAAATTGTATACTTGTAATGATTGTTGTCTCTTGTGCTTGTGGTGTGCTCCCACTGACCAATGAAATTATTGCTTGTTAGTGTGTTGAAAGCAAGATTGTAATTTTTGTTCTGACGAAGTTTTAAACATTTGGCGTCATGTAATATATTTGTGAAATGTAAATGCTGTTCAAATACTCTTCTACAACACAATCTTACGACACGCTTGCATGCCACTGTGCACAAATTAATAACAACTAGGCTTATTAATTTTTGGACAGTGGCATGTATGCAGTAAAATTGTGTGTTGTAGGCAATTAAGTATTAGAATGTCATTTATGTGTTATTAGGTGATATACTATAGAGTACATAAACATTAAAGACAATGGTAGTAAATACAATTCGTGTTTACTTACTATCATTATATTATATCGAGACTACCAAGGGCATGTGCTGTTGCTAGTGCTAGTAGTGCTGTAATATGTATTATCTACTACTCCTAATGAATATAGATTGTGTGTTACAGTAAATAATAAAATGTACAATTCAAATTTAAATAACAACTTGTACTCCTTCCAACCATGTTGAAATTTTCATTTGGCTGCATTTTCTAGACTCAAAAATGAGCGCCGGAAACCAGTGTCGGATATTCGTCGGGGGCCTGAAGTCTAATATCACGAAGGAAGACCTTGAGCAGGAATTTACACGATTCGGGCGTCTGCGCGATGTGTGGGTTGCGCACAACCCGCCGGGGTTTGCCTTCGTCGAATACCATGAGGAGAAAGATGCCACGGCCTGCCTGAGTGGCATGAATGGCGCGAAAATCCAAGACTGCCAGATTCGCGTTGAGGTCGTCAAGCATAAGCCCAGGGGCGGCGATTACGGAGGAGCTGGTCGCGGGGTCGGGCGCGGGGCGGTGGGTCGCGGAAGTAGCTTCCCCTCTGTGTACGGGGCGAGCGGTTATACACCATCCGATTACCCAGCGGCGCTTCCCCGCTACGAAGATTACTACCGAGACGAATACCGACGCTACGCACGGCCCTACGAAAACGGAGCCGCAGCATACGGACGCCGAACGCCACCTGGTTACCGCAGTCGCTCCCCGGTTGGAGCTAGCAGGTACATAGGCACCTAGACTAAGAACTCGCTTCGCTGTCACCGGCAAGCTTGCGTGACAGCCAGAGTATGCCGTGACGACTACGAGCGAAAACTGGTCCGACCTGAGGCGCACGCGCGCGTAGCGACCTGAATGTCGAACGGCATTGCGAACTGCCACGGTGAAGATGGCAGGCCGATCTAATGCGCTTGTTATCTATTCCGCAGCGTCCTGGCTGGCACGCGTGATATTCCCGTAGATACTGTCGCGTGATATCCGCCTCTCACCTTCTACAGTTCTAACCGCTACCTTGTTTTAGGCAGTGCTCGTGTGCTACACCTGCGAGGGTCCCCGACGTCATTACTGCCGTCGCACGCATGCACGCAGGGCCCTCAAATTAGGATGCGCGTTACCTTCGTACTAGAGTTGAATTTTCAGGATGCCACCGCTATATATGCGCGTCATCACTGTTGCTGGAATGAGTCTCTCTGCGCCGTCGTTGTTTTCGATGTTGTCTCCTCATGAGTGTGCACCGATGACAGTAGATGCGTCGCACGGTGTTGATGAATGTCGCAAGGCAAGAACCCCCATGCTGCGATAATGCACTTACTATCGGCACCCCGGTAGCTTTGAATGCGAGATGAGAGAGAATATCCGGAGTCATTCGTGTGACTACCTCGGTACACGATTTGTCGTAAAATGCGGTAATGTTCAACAGCGCACGCATTGTGAGAATGTGTTCAGCAGTCGAGCTATTGTGCAGAAATGCGCCATACAAGTGGTCGCCGACTCACTTATTCACCAATAATTTCGTTACTCCGTCGAGATTGGGAGTCTATCCCACGTCGCAATCCTGACCTGTCGACATAACCGCATAAAATAACACCAAAATTCCTTGCTGATGGGGGTCACATCATGTTGAGCAGTTGTCGCATTGAAACACGTTAGTACATGGTGTAGCCAATCGGTCACATTCTAACATGCCTGGTGGTCGAGTTGGACTCATTGGTGTTCATCGTGTGACCAGCTCTGACATGGACCTTAGGCTGTTCATTGTACTGGTAAGAAACTGTTTGTGTTATACTATGTGTGATCAGACCATTGATATCTAATTATATAATTCCTAATGTGGTGTACTACCTTACTCTTTCTTCTCCTCTCCCTAGTCGGAATTTTATGTCCGACTTCAATTTCCATGTGCGTGGGTGTGGTGTGGAGTACATGTCCATCTAGCTAAATATGGGGGGGGGGATTTCTTCACTGCCATTGATGGATCTGTGAAAGTAGCTATCCTTCAATCTCCGATTGTAATGCACAGATGTGTCACTGTTGCAGGACCCCACCTCCACCAATCGGACGAGGTCGTGAGTACATGCCACGTGATTATCCAGCTGCAAGAGGTTACGCCCCTCCCGAGTACCCTCCAGCGCCACCCAAGGTGTGAGTATCCTATCTGAGAAAGCTTCACAGCTGGCTTGTAAGTTTTTATTGCTTCACATGTCGTCGTTAATTGCAGGAAATCTATTTTTAATTAAAAAAAATAGAGAGGATAAAGAATTTACTAGCAGATTGGTTCTTTGCTAACATTGAACTAGGTTTCAAAATGTTGATAATGTAAGATAAATGTAACTGAATATTTTAATTTTTATCTTCCCTCCTGATTAACAGCCTAAATCAGGCCTGGTATGGCAACTGCATTCCAAGTGTATTTTTTGCATTGTTACAGCTATCCAGCCGATAAAAGTCAGTAAGCACCCCTAGCAAGAAACCCGTACTGAAGGGTTTTGCCTGCGCATCTGTGTCGGTGTGTGTGTGTGTGTGTGTGTGTGTGTGCGTGTGCGTGTGCGTGTGCGTGTGCGTGTTCATGTGTACAAAATTACAGTGAGAATTACTGAGCGAGAGCATGAGTGTACATCGAATGTTTTTCATTCCCTTACTATCGTGGTGGAAATTCATTACTTTCTAATGAAGAAAACCTGTAAAATGTAATGATAGCATGCAAGAACTGGAACGGGCAATTAGATAAACTCTGCATTGGGAGGTATGGTTTAGTTTTAAGTTTGTTTTCAATTGCAAGCAAGCTAAAAGCTGCTAAGACATACTTTGTAAGTTGTCCAGTTATGTGAATCTTTATAAAATATATCACCACTCCCTGGCCAACAGCAGTTGTTGCAGATCATAGTTCCTTACCTTCCACGTTTCATTGCGAACGTGTATAACCTTCCCCATGGCTTGTTTTAACTCGTGTATGTAAATATATTAAAGCCCATCGCGTATTGTGTCAAACTCTTGTTGGTGAATAAACTTTGAAATCCAGGTAGCATCTTCCAGTGACAAATCGGAGTTTCATCGTCATTTTATTTACATGTGTAACGATGACTAACGTTAGTAATCTCATTGTTGTGTGCTCGCAGCAATGACAGCATTATTCTTTACTAGCCGGATACCCGGCGTTGCCCGGGGAAATCAGTGGCGTGACTCAGTTGGTGACTGCTTGGTTGAAAGGAAAATACCCCAAAAAATCGAACTATCTATCTCTACATGCATCCATCCCATCCCATGCCATGCCATGCCATCCCAAACAGTAAAAAATAATTGTTGCATCTTCTCCTGATACTTTCCGGTGTTTATAAAATGCAGCATAAGGAAGGTATTCTACTGAAGGAATATTGTAGTAATTTGATGTGTACTTGAATGTAAAGTTTTAGGATAACTGTAATACTAATAGCCCTAGTCACTGAGCCTGTATGTGCTCATGTCTATATATGCACATTTGAATAAAGGTGTTAAGTGTCATAGTAAATAAAAAATTCAGTTTAACAATTCTATGTGTTGTGTAGGGAGTGCAGTTGCTGTATAAATCAGCTGTACAGCAGCTGAGTAGATCAAAAGCGTACTTGGAGCGTGTTTCAATCATTTTATGTTCATATGCTAACATGAATAAGATAAGAAGTGTTTTGCATGTAACATACCATAAATATGGCAGCTGTGTCTTAGTGACATGAAATAACACCAGGGGCATGTACAGGATTTGCACCAGGGGGGGAGGGGGTCTAACCGTAACCCAAACTTGCGAGCACGCGAAGGGGGGGTCTGGGAGAATTTTTTAAAAATTAGATCCCCTTAGGTGCGTTTTCTGCACGAGCAGCGGGGTCCGGACCCCCTGGACCCCCACCCCCTGGACCCCCACCCCTGTACACGCCTCTGAACACAATTCTGTGTCAAGGCACTGATTTCGTTGTAGGCATGCTAATAAAACATTTCAATATTCTATATACCTTTGACATGCTTCACAGTTATAAAATCCGTCAAATAAACCCACTTGCTATTCGATTTTTGCTAAGACAGCTGCTCGTTTGTCCGTGTTTTGAAATAGTGCTCTAATCAGCGATTTCAATTCATTGGGCGTGAACACTGCCCCTAGGGGGCCTTTTCCTGCTGCCCACCTCTCCTTGATGTCGTACATACTCGAATTTAGTATGAAAGCAAGTTCCTGAAACTTCATCCAGTTTGTAACACAGTGGTTGGTGGCTGGTGAAACAGCATTTACCTCCAGTTCTGTTCCAGCCTGCAACATAAACAAGAGCATTACACCATACTAGTCATAGAAACTATAAATACTGAGATAGATGATCATTCTGAATCAGGTGCGTAATGAGCCATTGGGTAATGTAAAACTTGTCGCTCTGTTTTGTACAGAGTGGTTAATCGGAATTGTTAATTGTCAGATTAAAATTGTTATACTGATCATCCTACACTGAACACGCAGGACGTAAGTGGAAGAATACCAAAAGTTCAAAACAATTTATGTAAAATTTGCTACACACTAGGTAATACAATTATGTTAGAAACATCAATAATGTTCGATAAATTTGGTGGCTTGGGTGGAGGTTTAACCACTGCTGTAAATACTACTCAGGATCATATAAACCAAAACTGTAACTTGCTAATCAGATCATATATACAGAGCATAGATACCTCAAAGCACGCTGATGACCCCTGGATTATGACGTCCAGCACGTAGTGCAACTCTGTAGCTTCATCTGCAGAGATGTCCACGAGGGCTAATATCTTGCTGATCACTTCCGTCACGACCGAATTTAGCAGCGTACCTGTCACACAAAGACAGCATCATCAAGTGACGTACAATGCAAATCGGCCACGAGATGGCACTGCAATTAATACACTACAGTAAAAAAAGCCCACAAATGAGGAGGACCAATTTGTTGGTGTTTTGGGTCGGCAAGTCCTTCTAGGAGATTGATTCAGGAATTGAGAGACTAAAACAGTTATCTGAGAGACCACGATAGCTTAGTATAACCTCACTCACTGTCCTCTTACAAAAGAGACAAGTTGAGGGACACTTTCTGCATGCATGGCTATATGGGCAAGCACTGAACATATATGTCCACTATTGGAATATATTTTAACAAACACCTTAGGAACGACAGTGGCATGTGCCAGCGGGTAGTACAGAAGGTGGTAGCACCTACCTATAGCTTTGTACATAATATTGGCTGGCAGCACGTCTCTCCACACCCGATTCAGCCGGTGCAGCTGATACATGCACTGCTTAACCGCTTTCATCGCCTTGCTGGATGTCGTATTCTCCTCTGTCACTGCCTGGAAACCTAAACCCAACATCATTACCATAAATTATCCAAAATTCCCAAATCCCTAACCCTTACCGCATGAAAAAAATTAACTTTGGATTACAGCATCATGCTAGCTCCTCATTAACATGATAAATTCATCAAATTGGTGGGATAAGGTGACAGCATCTCTATTAGACCTAGCTTATGCAGTCAGTCTGAATATGTGTTGTTTGTGCACAATGGTTTGCAAGGTGATACAACTGACAAGTACAGCAGACAATCAAGTACTCGTTACTAAAGCTGAGAGGGTCTATGTCCCCCAGGGTACTGCCGGAACGTACCCTGGTACTACCAAGAGTAGATAATAACACATTGGTAATAACACAAGTTGATAATTGTTATTATCTACTCTTGGTACTATCTAATATGCCAGACCATACCTCGCCTACTCCACTAATGAGTCTAGGGAGTCGCCTACGCCTACTCCCTAACCCTAACCCTAACCATATCAAATAGTTACCAAGGTACGTTCCGGTATTCCGGACCGTACCCAGGGTTCCGGCAGTACCCTGGGGGACATAGACCCTATCAGCATTACTAAACGTGGTGAAACCTATTGACAGTACCGTTCGCAACCGCCAAACACTCTAACAGTAGTGACATCTGTCGATGCATCTGCACAGTAAAACAGTCTGTGCCCATATTACGAATCTGTGGTACAAGATCTATGAAGGTTGCAGCTCCCTGGTTAAGAGGTGGTGGAAGGCTGTCCTGGTACTGATGGCCAAGTGTGAGTAGATGGTGTGCCACATACATACAGTTATTGTGATGTATGGCTGAAACGGATAACACACAGTCTGCACCTCATATGCTTTTAAAAGAACTTGATTTTTCACATCGTGTTATTTACAAACATTACCATCCTGGTACCCTTGTACTCCTGTAATGGAGCCCCCATAACATTGCACTTACTCCACTTTCAAGAGCAAATGAGCCATCAGTACTACTTCATATTAGGTGGCAGGCTTGGCAAGGAATTCATTATGCACTGGTTGTTGCTGGGTCTCACCTGCGAACTGTGGGACTTCTACCAGGTTGTCTCTGTGATGAATAGGCACGACACTGGCGTACATCTCGAACATATTTCTGACTGAATAGAAGAGTTGTATAGCACACTGCGGGGAGCTGCGTGTCGCCTCGCGTAACACGTCGTTCGCCATCGTCATCAGCTCACAAACGCTTTTGCTGTAATTAATATTAAACGCAAGAGTTAGCCAGAAGTCAATCAGAAATGGCCAACATTGACAATGACGTTTTGTCATCCTATATTAGTTTCGTGTTACACTTCTAAGTACTAATATGAGTACTACTTGATGTACCTACCATGTAAAAAACGAGTCATCAGAAGCTGTCTATCAGCAATACGAAATGTGCAAAAAACGAGAAAGTGAATGGAAAGTCCTATGGCGTCTGGTTTATAAAGAAATTAATTATGTGCAGGAACAATGTAAGTATTGGATTACACTTTCATTCATCTTACCATTTGGCAGGCCTCAGCTATATTTTTTTCTAAAAACGTCGGTTCTATGTGCAATGCAAACTACCAAATATCTCAGTACTTACTACTATTACTGGAAAGCTAACATCTAGCCTAGCATTGTAGTTTTATCATGAATGAATTAGTAATATAATACCTAATACAACATGCTGGCAACCTAAACGTTGAGGCACTCAGCTGCACTTCTCCCTCCAACATGGAAGAATCTAGTCCCGGGACCTGCTTGCCTTTCTCTTCCTTAACAGCTCCTTCACTCGTTGGTTCATTTGACACCTGAAGCAGCCATGAACGTGTACCATTTCATTTATGATCATAGCAAGCAAGGTCAATGATTACAGAATGCACTTCTGGTAACATGTAGGAGTAATTCTAGAGGAATGTTCGACTAAAATTAAGACCATCCATACAATATTATACCAAAGATTTTCATTTATGGGATTAGAATAAACTAGAGATGTCTATGTAACTGATTATCTGTGCTACTGTCTTTAGCACAGGACCTCCGTTTCATCATCCTACTGCTCCCTCCTTCCTCAATCTTCATCCACTTCCAGCTTCTTTGTCTGGTTCTACCCTTCCTTCCCCACCTTTACCGAGTAGACCGCCTGCACTCTTTCTCCCCTTCCCTCTTCCTTAAAGATGCATTCCCTCGCACATTTTTGTGACAAACCACTGTAAAAACGTAAGCAAATAACTCCCTACACTTTAACTGAACGTTAGCTTTGAAAATAAAACTGTAAAAATATGTATCAAGCCTATATATTCGCTCAACGAAAAAACAACTCGAAAAACGCGTTTCGCCGCGGTTCTGTATCATGGCGGCAAGAGTCGACGCAGGTCAACCAGCACAGCCATAGATATCATATACCACATGTGTTATATGATATCTATGAGCATATGCAGCCTTCGTGACCTTCATCGCTTGGCAACACCGCATGACAACAAGAGACGCGTCACAACATCGCCGCAGAGTGGCAAAAAAGTAAATGCTGTTTGAAACATTCGACCCGACACTTTCACTTTGGAGTCTAAAAGCTTCGAATGAACGTATTCCTGAGCAATTTTTTTTACCTATCACACATATATAGGCAAATACAAACGTGCAATGTTACACCTTTAACCATCCTCTTCCATCTTCCTTCACACCAAATTCCACCTTTCCCTTTCTCCTCCACCTCCCTCTTCCTTCATCAACTACTCATTCTAGCTATACTCCCCTTATCCCCCGGCCTTTTCCACCCTCACCTCTTCTTCCATCCACCCCTTTTCTCTTTCTCCATCCCTACTTACCTTTCTATCACCTACACCATCTACCCATCCTCCTCAAACTTTAAACAATTCCATCTACTCCTCTGTCCTATCCACCTAGCTCCTCATCTTCTTTCCCGCCTCCAAATTTACTTCCTGATATAGTGATGTTGCCAGGGTCTATGTCTCCCTGGGTACTGCCGGAACGTACCCTGGGTACGGTCCGGTATATCGGAACGTACCATGGTACTATCTAATATGCCGGACCGTACCTCGCCTACTCCACTAACGAGTCTAGGGAGTCGCCTACGCCTACTCCCTAATCCTAACCATATCAGATAGTTACCAGGGTACGTTCTGGTATACCGGACCCTACCCAGGGTACGTTCCGGCAGTACCCAGGATACGTTCCGGCAGTACCCAGGGAGACATAGACCCTATCAGTATCAGCTATAGTGATAAGTGATAGACGGTCCTGTACAAGAACAAGCCTGATAAAAATTCTAACACTTCAACAGCTGTCTACGTCTCCATTTCAGCACCACCATTTTCCCCAGCTTAAATAATTAGGGCTTCTTCATAACAAGCCGGGTGGGTGCTAATGCATGTTGAAGGGAAGTAAAGATGCCATCACACTTAGCCCAGTGTTATTTGTTTTAACAATTCCAAATTTCATGTTTATCCACACTGCTGCCTGTATGCATTTGTGAAGCACATTGTGAGCCGGTAGCCTAGACATGTTTTTGTGCAAAGAACTATGAACGGCAGTATATCGTACTGGCCACAGAGACAGCCTTTCCAGTCCATTGCACTACCACCAGTGGCTCAGAGCGCCGCGCCTCTCGCGCAACAACGTTCGCCTACACAACAATCACGTGCGTGCGCGCCAGACAATCAAGCACGCACATATATATACTGTACCCGGGTCATTATGTAACCATAGCAACCGATAGTGGACGTCAATACCAGCTTGCAGCGGTTGCCATTAGTCTACGGGGTTGCCTAGCAAAAACACTCAGTGTGCGGTTGGTTGAGCTGGCAACCGCATCTGGCTGTAGCACGCGTGTGCGGGCGTTCAAGGCTACCGTTGTTATTTCCTACTCGTTGGGACACCACTGGGCACTTGTGGCGAGTGACTACGAGCGTTCGTGCGCGTGTGTTCGTGCGCGAAGTAGAGCCAAGAGGACCAGTGATCGACAGGGACAGACGAAGGACAACTCCGATAAGTGCGTCAGTTATACTCTGTTACGGCGAACTGGATTAATTATTTACTATTTAGTATTTAGATAAGCTTGCAGTTGTAGTAAGGACAGGTGATACGTGAATAAGTGCAGTGGTAGTATGTCATTGATGATTGATTCGACTATCTGTGTGCACTGTGAACGCGAAACCTGCAGCGTGTAGCGCGGCTATAGCATTGAGTAACAATCATAGGTAGGTATCATGGGTAGCCCGACCAGGCTGTGCGACGGATTGTCTATACGTGATATCCTAACCCTAGCGATACCGTTTCTTGGAGCTAGTATCATGGGTAGCTGGTAAACCGACCAGGCTGTTGAATGTACGTACGTTGCGTTGTACGTTACGTGGCGTGTACGTCGTCGTAACTTGTGGCTAGGGTAGCTGGTTGCTCTACTGCCGTGGCGTACCGACTACTGCCGGCTAGCTATGCAGTAATCAATATGTCCGCGAACTCAAAACGTGGTAGGGTACGTACGGATGTCATGTACTTAGTGAGTGTCGGCATCCTATCTACTTGTCTTGTTAGTAGCACTACTAGTACTACTACTACTAGTATCAGAAGTAGATAATAGGGAATTTCCTATTATCTACTTCTGACTAGTATACTACTATTACTATTAGTATTACTAATAATCTTACTAGCAGGAGTTTTTTAATTTCTAAATGCAGAGAATTTATTAGAAATAGTAATACCTAGACGAATTTATGCTCTCCTAGATGTTATTTTTTTCAATTAATTATTAATTATTCCCATGATGTTATTTTTTTTAAATTTTCAGGTTTCCTGCTTGTAATTCGGGAAAAGTTGATTGGGTGAGTGCACAACACTAATGTATGCAACCATGGCGACTGCAGGCACCACGACTAGTGACACTCTGGCGATACAGCAGCCGCGGTGCGACAACACGTCCGGCTACGAGGATTTGCTGCTAAAGCCATCATTCACATCGACTTTGTCCACCGGCCTTCCACGGGCGCTCACTCCGTGTGACATGGACTCTGCACCGCCGTCCGGCCCGCCAGCATCGTGGGACCTTGAGACCACAGACGAAGACAACAGATCAACGCCTCCTCCCAGCAGCGCATTGGTGGCGGCGGGGAGCGACGAAGCGGGCACGCCAGCAGCGCATGAGTGCGAGCAGTGCGGGCTAGCGTTCCTCACGGCCGACGAGCTGGATCGGCACGTCGGCGCCAGCTGGCACTACGTTCACATGCGCTACATGTGCGGCATGTGCCTGACGGACCTCGCCTCGCTGTCGGCCGTCAGGCAGCACACGAAGCCCGTGCTGTGTAACCGCTGCGCTGTCGTCAGCCCCTGCGTGAAGCACGCGCGCATACACGCTCGCTGCCACGGGAAGGCGGCGCAGGGACGCAGGGCCAACACGCTGGTGGCCACGAGCACAGCCACTCTCTCGCTCACATCACAGAACACAGTTCCCACGACGTCGGAGACAGCACCAGTAGATGCGCAGCCAACGCCAACTTCAGTGCTAGCTGCGGTCCTGGCTTCACCATTGAACAGCCCGTCAAACCTGATAGCAGTGAGTGGGGATCCACCACCACTAACATCAGTGGCAACAATAGCCACGCCTTTACCGACACTGACAACAGTGGCTGAGTGTATAACAACTGCCTCAACGTTGCCAACACCCGTGCCAATAAACAATCTATCAAAGCTGACGGCTATTGCTGCATGTCCAACACTGAATTCACTTCCTAGACTAACGTCAATGCCAACAGCAGCCACAGTTCCCAGACTGACATTAATGTCATCCACAGACCTGCACGCGACAACAAACAATCTTCTGAGAGTGACATCATCGGCTGGAAATCCAACAGTAACCACACTTCCAAAACTGACATCAATGACGTCTACGACCACACACTCGGCAATAAAAAATCTTCCGAGGATGGCAGCCATGGTTGGACGTCCGAAAACCAACATTCTTCCTAAACTTACACCAATTGCACCAATGCCTTCTTCAATGATGAACAAATATCCAATACTAACACCAATGCCGGCAGTAGCAAGCTCACAAGCAATGAATAGCTTACTGCCTACAACGACGACCACACCAGCCACATGTGCATCAACGAGGCAATTTCCTGTTTTAAAGATAATGTCACCACAAGGCACCCGTCAGGTCATTCGAATCTCGGGCATACAGCAGACACTGGCAGTAAATAGGAATCAAGCAGCATCAGGATACAAGACACTGACTCCAACAACAACAACCCACGCATATAGATCATTTGCACCGACACCATTAACATCAACATGTAGAATAGTGACACCATCAACAACAACACCATCGGGATATAGACTACTTTCAACAACATCAACTTCAGCGTTGAGAATAACTGCGCCATCATCGTTGACGTCTGTGCACAGAGCATCCACACTGACGACATCAACAGCGGCACATCGGATGACGAAATTGTCAGCATACGTGTCTCCAGCAACGGCGGCGCCAGCGCTAGAGCCGGTGAGCGTGGCGACACTGTCAACCATGACTGCCATTAAAGACGAGCCACTGACGCCTCCGCCGCCGCCGCGGCTATCCCCGCTCACTGTCACCGTCAAGACCGAGCAGCAGACGGTGGACGATCCAATGGCTTCTGAGGGTGCACTATACGGCCAACCTCAAGTGACACGGTGTAGTCTCTCACAAGGAATGGTGCTTGGTCTACGCGAAGACACCAGCGTCAGTCACGCTGCACCAAAGACCACGGTGAAGCGTGCACGACTCATCCTCCCACGGATTGAGGCAGGCACTACACACATGACCCCCGTGAAGGAGAAACAGTATCAGTGTGATGAGTGTGGCCAGGCATATCAGTACCTCAACCACCTGAAGAATCACATTAAGACACACACGGGTATATAACAATTAACACTAACAGTTCACCACAACAAAACACAGCACAGTAATACGTGCCCAATCTTTCACTTATTCAAAGTACACATCAGGGGTTGAAAATAACTTTTGAACAAGGGAGTCCAATGGACTCCCTGCCCTTAAAAGGAGGGAGTCCACAGCAAACTGAGAGAGTCCACAGTCTGAAGTTCAAAACTAAAGATGCAAACTAAATAACGCATGTGCTTATTTTGAAGATTCATGCGGTTGCACGTCTGCCAAATTTTCTTTGGACATTTGCTGAAAAATACGGTAATTCCGCGAGGCCGTGCTTTGGAACGAACTAGTTAGTATAGCAGAATTTTCAGTGAGTCACACGGACTCCTGCATATGTCAAATCAGGGAGTCCGACAGTAAATCAGGGAGTATTTGACTCCGGATTCGCGTTAATTTCGCACCCTGACACATACATTAGAATTATTATCAATTTAAATCTAAAAATTATGCAATGGCTATATTACGTATTTAAAGCATCTGTGCGTACAACAACAGCGGAAACTCTTCGGTAAAAGGCAGGTAATTTTCATGCGTGAATATTTCACTATGAGCATATGTGTGTAACTTGCTTCTACAGGAGCACCGTTCAAGTGTGAGATCTGCGGAGCAACCTTTGTTGTACAGTTCAAGTACGAGCGACACGTGAACCGCTTTCACAAAGGAGAGAATCCTGGGAGCCGGCCATACAGGTAAGATGCATAGCCTTTCCTCAATGCTTTAACAACTACGCTAAACCTGCACCTAATAACTGCACCTACGTTGTTTCTTGAGCCGTCGATGACTGCCCCCTCCCCCCCCCCCGCCTGCACTCCATCTACCTGCAATGATCTTCTCTTCTCCAGCCTGACTTTGCTCCCCCTCTTATCAGTGAATCACTTCCAGCTTTGTACCTCTTCCTGTTCCAGTGTTTCCCCTGGCCAAAAAGGTCTGTGAGGTGGTAAATGTTTTTTGTAATGTGTTTGCGTGTTTCGAGGTCCTAGCAAAGCGAGCAGCACAGGTGCTGGCCAAGCTAGGGAGGTCCGGGGACATGCTCCCCCAGGAAATTTTTGGAAAAATTGGTGCAATTTGGTGCATTCTAAGCTATTCTGAACATATTGTATGAGACTCTTGAATCTCTTTTTCAAGTTGTCAAACGTTTCGTCAGCGAGGCGGTGTTTTGGATAAATTTATGTGTGGCGGCTGAGAATTTTAGCGAGGCGGGCCGCCTCGCTCGTGTCAATGCAGGGGAAACACTGCTGTTCTACTGACATGCCTATTTATTCGACCAGTCTGGCTCGACGAACAATTAAATTTGCATTGAGAAGTAGCCGTGATACCGGGGTACACGGTACACACTCCCAAAATCCTACTGTATCCTGTAGTCTTCCGTAAAACCAAGTTATTGCTCGGTTTTATAGCTCACGGGAGCTGTAACAAGGTTAAAATGTACGAGAAGGAAACATTACATGCATGGCAGTACAAACTTTTACAGGTGCCCCATATGTTGTGCTGGCTTCAAACAGCGGAACCACTTGGTGCGTCACTTGCGGATCCATACAGGTACTGCTATCAGTGCATAATTTGCTTCTATGTTTCACATTGTCACGTACTGCAACGATTGTAGATGTAGAGCATCCACCTTGCCAATCATGCCAACTGTTCAACTACGTACTGCATTCACAGTGACAGGGTGCTGCTAACGTTCGCTAACACTCGAATCTTCACTGTGTCTAGTCTGCTCACCTACTTTTAAAATGTGTGTCACCATCACTCAGAATCCTTACAAGCTGCATCCTGGTTGAGTGATATATAATGCGTATTGTACTCCCTGTGCAGGAGAGAAACCATACAAGTGTACCATATGCGGAACTGCATTCGCGTTGCCTGGCAACCTCAGCTACCACATGCGTATCCATAGCAATGACAAGCCGTACATATGTGACATGTGCGGGACTCCGTTCCGCTCCACCACACACCTCAAGCAGCATTTTGCTCGGATCCATCGGGGACTGGAGTTCACTAAAGGTCCTGAGACAACGAATACGTGCAAGGTAAGTGTTTTGCAGGAAACGCCCTATATGTTTACTAACTGCATGGTCCCTTCTTAGGGCAAGACTTATGAGAACAGTTTTTGTAATCGATTTCGGAAACTTAATTCACCTTATTGTTCATTTACTAACTTGTTTATATCATTTTCTACTGTGAGGTTAATCTCGACCTCTTTTCACTGACTATGTTCCATGATTTTATAATAACAGGAATATATAACATCATCATATTGATATTATGAAATTTGTTGATGTATCTATTCCCGATGCAAGTTAGCTCTAGTACTATAGCCCGCTTACATTAACTGCCGCTGGCAAGCTAACTGACGCCTGCACATTAACTGCTGCCAGCGGCAGTTAATGTAAGCGGGCTATAGTACTAGAGCTAGATGCAAGTATGCTGATGGTAACTATATCTATTGATCGGTTTATGGAGCAAAAATGAGGTGCATCAATTTTAATCATTCGTATCTTTGCTGCCGCCTCGTCGTGCCAGGCGCGCGTGCCGGCGTTCGGTCGGCAGCAACGGCAACAGGAGCAGGAGGATGAGGACGCTGACGATGGCCTGGCCGTGTCGATGTCCGAGATCCTGCGCAACCCGCTGCAGGGAAACCCCATCGATGCGCTATCCGACGACGAGGAACCACAGGTGGTGCTGAGCGCACCTGCCGAGTCCCCGGCCGCGCCGGCTCGCTACGAGGCACAGGTGTCACTGCGCAGTCCCGCGCAGGAGACCCCGGACTCACGGGCTCGCTACGACTTCAGGAAGAGGAGCGACGGAGGCAGGAAGCGGGCTTGGTCCGACGGCTCTCACACTGGTAACGAGGAGCACAGGTGCTGATGAACATCATGCGTAGATAGTTTGGGAGATTACATTCGGCAGAGAAAAAACCTGACAGTGAACCTCACTGGTGTGCTAACATAAACTTGTGCAAAAACATGCAACGGTTCATTTGTGCATGAGCTACGTACTAAACATAACTAGACGATGTATGAACTGTAGGTATAGACGTTGGCGAAGTGGTACACATTATGTGATTATAGTCTCTTGTTTATAAGGCCACCCTTAAAAGATTGTTTGTTTACCCTTTACCTACTCGCCTCTCAGGGTACCGAGTAGGTAGGTAGGTGAAAAATCTTTTTTATTTTGTTTGGACAAGATGTGTGTATGTATATTGTATATTCTGTTTTGTGTATATGTTTTTGCGGAACGAATTTTTGTTTTTTGCGAAACGAAATAATTTTTGTTTTGCTTTAATCGGCCAATAAAATGTGGCGAGTAGCGGCGTTTTGGCGAGTCGGTCGGTAAAGTGGAAACAAGCAATATTTTATCTTAGGCCTAATGGTGTCTGGGCCCTCGTAAATTTTCTAAAGATGTACATGTAAAAGGTGCAATTAAGGAGGCAGCTTCAATCTTCTTATGTCTTACGAGTGACTACTAAAATATTACTGTTCATGTTCACCATGTATTAGTCACAGAGTATTCATATGTACCAAAGTAATTATGTGTAATGATTTTAATAGTGTTTTTAAATATATTCTGTGTGCAAGCTGTATAAATATTAAAATGTCTTACACAGTCAACCCTGTATATAAGGGTCACTTAACAGAAACTGCAAAAGTGTCCTTTATAAAGAGGTGTCTATTCTATAGAGGTGACCACTAACACAGGGTTGACTGTATGAATAACTTTTTTTCTTGTCATATTGCAATGTCAATTCATGTTCTTACATTAAATTTTTTTGTAATATAATACATTACTCTGTGCAGCATTAAATTTCCAGATTTCTTTACATGCACGTGATATGGTAGGATTGCCAAGTACCTATGCAACTCCAAGTACCATGTAGCAGTGTGTCACTGTGTAAATGGAAAAATCAGAGACACTGCTACTGTCAGAGCATACCTCCTAACCCTAATCCTAATATTATCCTAACCCCGACCTAAAGTAAACCCCAGTAAATCCCCAGTTTTTGTACCTAAGGAGATACAGAACCTTCAATTATTAAGTAGTTCCCCTTTACATGTAGCAGTGTGTTTATAGCACTCCCCCCCCCCCTATATGTGCATATTTACCTCCGCCAGGGGCTTGGCGGAGGTTATGTTTTCACCGGCATGTCTTTGAGTGTTGGTTTGTGTGTTTGTGGGTTTGTGTGTTACCATGCACGTTTCAGTTCACTTCCGCTAGGTGCGCTGGCTGTAGACTTACAAACACGCAACCACAGGCTAAGGGGCAACCACAGTCCTCCCCCACCTGCACGCTCGCACTAATCCGGATCCAATTAATTAATTAATAAAAAATTTCACATTGAGAGAATTCAGCTGCCTTGGCGGAGGTCTGTGCTCTCCGAGTGCTCTAGTATAATATATAACACAGTAGAGCGTAAATCACTTACTTCCATTGTAACAGCGCGTTTATACTATACAGCAAGGCGCATCGGTCACGTTTGCCTGTAACAGTGTTCAGTAAAGCACAGGAAAGCACATCACTCACCTCCCCCTATAGCAGTGTGTGTATATAGCACACAGCATACAACACACATCACTCACCTCCCCCTATAGCAGTGTGTGTATATAGCACACAGCATACAACACACATCACTCACCTCCCCCTATAGCAGTGTGTGTATATAGCACACAGCATACAACACACATCACTCACCTCCCCCTATAGCAGT